CATCATCGCTCCCGAACAACGCATCATCGCACCTGCTGTGGACAGGAAAACAGGGCAGCACAAAAATGTTAAGAGTTTTTGGCTGCATGGCACAGTACCGACCCCCAGCTGCACGAGCCGGCCGATTCTCCCAACGCGCACAGTGGGGACTATACCTGGGCATCGAAAAGAATTACAACGCGTGGAAGATTTTTTACGTCCACTCAAAGGAAACAGTAGCAGCACGTGATGTCATTTTCTACGAGCGACTCACACTCCCGGCGTACCTTGCCAACGTGGAAGAAGGTCGGGACCCCACAGGTGGTTTTCATGGTGACCGAGCCTTCGCCTCGGCAGCAGACGAAGCTGACTGGGACGAGCAGAACGTGGATGAAGCCTCAGAGGAAGCCGGACCTCTCCCTTACTGCTCGGTTGATGTCCCAATGGATGACGAAAATCCTCGCGAAAGCGTCAACGCCGAAGTATTTTACCACTTCGCCGACAACAGTTACGTTACACCTGCAAAAGTCAACACCAACGAAGCAGAACGCATAGGGCCCAATTTCATACCTGACCCAGAAGCAGGAGACGAAGCAGCTTAGCCCGAGGACACAACACTTCCCCGCTACACACAGAGTGGCCTCCAGATACTCGGCCTCGTCACCGCGGTTCACGGCGCAGCACTTCCTAAGGAGCCTGCTACAGTTCAGCAGGCTCTGGGGGGGGAACATAGGGAAAAATGGCGCGAAGCCATGGACAAGGAGCTGAAAGCGCTGGAAGAACGGAACACCTGGAAAATCGTTCCCATCGGCGTAGCAAGGAACAAAACGGTACTTACCGGAAAATGGGTCTTCCGTGTGAAGACAAAGGCAGACGGCACTATTGACAAGTTTAAGGCGCGCTGGGTCGTGCGCGACTTCGACCAAGAGCACGGACGCGATTTCACCGAGACGTTCGCCCCGGTCAGCCGACACACTTCGCTTCGAATTCTCCTCGCGATCGCCGCCATGAAGAAGAAGAAGCTGCGGCAAATTGACATCGCTAATGCCTTCCTCTACGCACATCTTGACGCGAAGATCTTCGTCGAACTACCACACGGCTCAAACGGAGAACCCAACCAAGTCTATCAACTGCTGAAGTCCCTGTACGGCATCAAACAGGCACCGAGACTGTGGCAGCAGTACCTGCACGCTAGACTCATTCGCATCGGATTTTGCCAGCTACCGCACGACCAGGGCATGTACCGACTCACAAAGGGCAACGACTACATCTACTCATCGTCTACGTAGACGACCTGCTCTATATCGGCTCGACCGACGGCGTCACTACCTGGTTCGAAGGGGAGTTGCAGCAAGATCTCACGCTCACGGTCTCTTCCACCGTCACGCAGTATCTCGGCCTCAATATTCAAGAAGAAGAAGACGCGATCTACCTCAGCGCCGCGAAATATACCGACACTATCGCCAAACGCTTCGGACTCACCCCGGTCTCCATCTCCACGCCATACCGCTACACCGCAGGAAATCACAAGGAAGGATCCGCCCCGCTCAAGCCCGCCGGCATACGCGACTACCAGAGAAAGCTGGGATGCCTACTCTTCGCGGCCGTCACCTGCCGTCCGGATCTATCGTACTCTGCGAGTCAACTCGCCACCTACCTCAAAAGGCCCGAAGCAGAACATATGGCGGAGCTCAACCGCGCCCTTCATTATCTCGTTAGCACTCCGACGATCGGCCTGACCTATCACAAGAACGGAACCTCGACACCTAAGTTAATCGGCTACGTCGACGCCAATCACGCCGGCGACGCCGATCACGCCGGCGACTCCGACAACAGACGCTCGCGCTCCGGCTACATCTATCGCTTCGAACCTATCGGACCCATCTCGTGGCAGTCGAGTAAGCAGGAGTTAATCGCCCTCTCCTCAGCTGAAGCAGAATATATCGCACTCTGCTCAGCCACCAAGGAAGGACTGTACCTTTGCGAACTCCTGGAGGAAGCGAAGCTGGCTCAGTTACTCAGCTTCTCCTTAGTCTGCGACAACCAGTCAGCAATTCGCATAGCTAACAAAAATGGATTCGCGAACAGGACGAAGCACATCGCCCTGCGATATTTCTTCGTAAAAGACGAGATCGAGAAAGGCAGACTCGAACTATCCTACTGCCCCACATCCGAGATGGCAGCTGACTACTTGACCAAGAAGCTCGGAAAGCAGAAGTTCGAGTACTGCATGCTGCTGACTGGACAGAGCCACGTCACCAGCAGCGACACTCCAGAAGCGAAGGGGAGTGTTGGAAACAAGTGATTTAAGCGCCTCTGTCGTGTTGAAGCACTTAGTCGTAAACGAAGCGAAATACAGCGAAGCATCGGCGAGTCAACCCTCGGAGGTTGAGAAGGAAAGCAACTGCTGGAGGTTACGCGAAAGTCAAAGGTCAGCGAGCTTTGACTTGACAAGTACAGCACGACAGCAAGGACAAACAACTGGCTCGTTACTGAGCAGTTGCCCGAGTCGTCACTGTATCGAACCGCAACAGCAACAGTAAAACAGTTATTAGCTATAGCCTCTCATATTCCCCTGTACTCTTATAAAGGCCTTGTATCCTCTTGTTTTAATCAATCTACTTTGCCCTCACATGCCAGCGCAAGGTGGTTCATAGACTTATCATTAAACGCTTCCGCTATTACATTGTTCCTACTCAGAGTTTAGTCCTGCAAAGATCCTAAGGGTTTTTCTCAGCCCAACATCTTGAACAGTGTCAGCACTCCGGAATATATGGACAGAGACTGTTCTGAGTACAGCTTGAGCTACAGTCAAGTTTGACGAGTGCATTGACGTTAAACTACGAAAAAACAGACCATGTACAAAGTTGGACCCGCCCTTACCACTCGCGAGACTCGCCTCGACACTGTTCCCGCCACTGTTCACGACGCGACCCAACCTCACGGTCCGGTTGGTAACCCGCGCTCCGGACCTCCGCCTCGACAATTCCCAACCTCGGCGCTAGGCCCGTTGCGCACCCCATTTTCCACACACTGCCATTACCACTGTAGTTTCGCTATATATTCTTTGCGCATGCCTTCGCTAGAACCATTGCCTTCCCTATATTCTTTGCGCACCCCATTTTCCTTAGTTACTCTTGCTTCGATAGTGCAGTTCTCAATCGATCACTCAATTGCACTCGTAACAGTTAGAAACTATACGAACCACACCTATTTCATAAGATTGCAATGATTACATAGACATTATGATTACATAGACATCAAACTTCATAAATTCTTGAGTTCTTGTGCTGCTCACCCTAAGACTTCAAGTTCACAAAAGGCCCAATACGTTCAGATGCAGGGGAGGGGGAACGGGAGTTGGGGAAGGGAGTCCAGTGCCCCCAGCTCGCCTTTACCCGGCACCCCAGCTCGCGGCAAACGCAGCACCTTCAACCAGTTCTTCCTCGCTTTGGAATCCACCTGCCTTTTAAGTCTACTCAATCAGAGCATGTATCGTATCGGCCATCCATGGAATGCTCCCAGCTCACCCCTTAAAGCCTCCACCCGGCACCCCAGCCCTGGGCAAACGCAACACCTTCAACCAATTCTGCCTCGCCTTGGAATCTCCCTGCCCAGCCTCCACTGCGGACCGGGTCCGAGGCACATGCTTCGGTAGAAATGAACCTACCCCCGAGGCTACCCCGAAATCCGTACCGCAATCGTGTAGTGGAGGCTCTTGAGTCAAGTCGGCTGCATTCTCCCCAGCCTCTGTGCCAGGCTTGGAGGGGCCGGAGAGGAGCGGAGAGAGCAGGTGCTTGAAGCGAGATCGAGACACGGTGTGGGAAAGGGAGGAGATGAGCGGGCCAGAGTTAAACTTTCTGGGGGCCTTTTGAGTCGACTCAACAGACACCTCGCGAGACAGGGTCCGGGACAGGGAAGAGAAGAGCGGGCCAGAGCTGAATTTTCGGGAGGACTTTTGAGTCGACTCAGCAGTCACATCGCGAGACAGGGTCCGGGACAGGGAGAAGAGCGGACTAGAACCCGACTTGCGGGGGGGCTTTTGAGTCGACTCAACAGTCACCTCACGAGACAGGGACAAGGAGGGGGAGAGCGGGCCAGAGCTGAATTTGCGAGGGCTGTGAGAGGCGGGAGAATGGAGTTTGGATGGGTGCGGAAGGGTGAGGGGGAGGGAGGCGTTGGCGGGGAGGGAGGTGGTGGGAGAGAGGGTGGATGCTGCAGGGCCGAAGGGTGGACGGGGGGAAACGGATAAGAAGGGCAGGCCGGAAGGAGAGATAAGGTCTGAGTCAGACTCCTCATATGGGAAGTCAGTGGTCTCCTCTCTGGATGCAGCAGCTTCCTTGGTTGGAGTGGTGGCATGATTGAGGTTACATGCATGGTGAATCAGTTGGGCCTGATGGGTCTGATGGGTCTGCACATCTGCTTCTGCATTCCCATGCTGACTGCGCCGCCCATCACCAAAATGCAAATCAAGTTTCAAAAGCGCAGCTTTCTGTCTGAAGCCAACCTTCTCCCCTTCTGCATGCCCCCCCTCCGCATGCTCCCACGCTGCATGCTTCTCGACGCTTATCACTACCATTTTAACCTCCTCCTCCTCCTCCTGTTCAAAATCTGTGGCTCTCGGATTAGCTAGGTCCTGGGGGACCAAGCTTGCTGCGTCAGGAGAAGCGGCATTAGCAGCATTAGCACCAGCTGCATTAGCACCAGCTGCGGCAGCAGCAGCAGTTGTAAGCGGAACACATCCACTATCAGCCTCGCCAGCATGAAACCTTGACAACACACCAGCACCACGGTCAGCAGAATTAACAGTATTAGCAGAATTAGCAGCAGCAGCAGCAGTCATAGGCGCCACGTCAGCCCAGTTAGCAGGCACCATGTCAGCAGTAGTACTAGCATTAGCCCTTGCCGCCATGCCACAGGCACCAGCACCACCACAAGCATTCCAAGCCTCAGCAGCAGGTCCGGCACAAGCCTCGCGAATTCGTTCGGCAAACGAATCGGCAGAGTCAGAGTCAGTGCTGTCAGAGGGAACGAGTACCCTCCTCACTTGCACCATTCGGCTGAATTGCACGCGCCGATCCGCCCTCTGCTGCTTCACCCCGTTGCCTGCTGCACCTGGTGATGACTGTTGGCTGGTTGGGGATTCTGCGGTGGCTTGGTGGCCATCGGATGGCTCTGGATCCAACGGCTGTGATGATGGTAGACGCCGGGATGGCGACCTGTTACGATTCCAAGCTGCTGCTGCTGCTGTTGCTTCTGCTGATTCTTCTGCTTCAGTTGCTTCTTCTGTCTCTGCTGCTGCTGATTCACACGGCGAGGGATGGGAGCGGGGGGGCACCAGAGCAGAGGTCAGCATATATTCTCAACGCGCCATGGATAAAGCGTATAATCCAAAGTAATTTTCAATATGATTTCCAAGCTGCGCTAGGATAGAGACGTCATGCATGACGTCATGCACTAGGTGAGAGAAGGGAGGGACAGATCTCATGCATGAGGCGTCTCACTGAGACATGTCTGAATCTCGTGAGGCGTCTCGTTTTGAGGTGTCTCAAAGACTCACTTGGTTATAACAGTGCTGCGGCTGCTTCGTCTACCACTTGTTCTGCTGGTGCTGCCACTTGTGCTTGTGCTGCTGGTGTTGCTACCTGTGTAAGTGCTACTGGCGCTTCTTTTCTACATACCTGAAAAGGCAAAATCGCTTGTATGGTTGGCCGCAGCAGCAGTAGCAGCAGAAGCAGAAGCAGCTGCAACCGCAGCCGCAGCAGCAGCATCAGCTGCAGCAGCAGCTTCAGCAGCAACAGCAGCAGCAGCACCTGCAGCACCATTCGTGTCCAACAAGCCAATGCCGTTGCTTAAACTGCTCGTACGCCAAGACGCCTCCTCTCTGCCCTCCTTCCTCCCCTCCACACTTCCCTCCTCTCTCCCATTCTCTGTCTTCCCCCTTCGTCCCTCCACTCTTCCATCCTCTGTCCTCCCCCTTCGTCCCTTCTCTCTCCCCTCCTCTCTCCCTTTCTCTCCTCCTTCCTCCCGTCCCTCCCCACGTGTTCTTTCCCTGACCCCAACACCCAGTGACCCAGCTGCAATAGCAGCAGAAACAGAAGTAGCACCAGAAGCATCAACACCACCACCACCAGCAGCAGTAGCAGCCGTAGCTTCTACAGTCCCCATACCGCCACTCAAACTCGCTACCCGCGCCATTTCACGAACCCCTTTCGCCCATCCAGATTGCAACTCCCTCCCTCCCTCACCCTCCCTTTCCCCTCTCTTCCCTCCTCTTACCCCCCCTCCTTCCCCTTCATCATCTCTTGTAGGCAGCGCCACAGCAGCCGCCTCTGCTTCCAAATCCCTCATACTACCACCACCCTCACCGTGGCTGCAGGCCATTTCCCGGAAGGATCCCACCAGCGCGACCGGCGCTTCTCCTTCACCACCCCTTTCAGACAGAGCAACAGCAGCCGCCTCCGCTTCTAACGCCCTCATTGTACTACCCTCACTCGTGGCACCACGGCTGTTGTTACTAGCAGTTTCTACTGCCGGGCGCGGATTCGCCAGTTCTCGGAAGGATCCCACCAGCGCAACTGGCACTTCCCCTTCCAGAATTTCAACATCCCATGATCCTTCCGCCTCCCCCGAAACGTCCGCGCCAGCAGCGCTAGTACTAGCGCTTTTACGAAAGAGGTGGGGTGTGGGGATTGCCTGGCGACCGTTACTATCACTCAGCCTCCGGTACTTGGCAGAATCACTGCCAATATCATTGTTGTTATTGCCAATGGCGGCGGAGCCGCCGGGGCCTGCTGTTTTAGTGAAAACTGTACTATTAGAATGAGAACTAGTAGCACTGCCGCCGCTCCGTCTCCTGGCGTGCCGTGAGTTAGAACTAGTATCACTGATACTGACAGCTTCAGATTGACTCAACTGGAACTGCCACTCCGTCTCCTCGGCAGGCTGCTGCTGCTGCCGGGCTTTCTGCCCATCGCTCCTTCTCCTGCTGGCGTGCTGTGAGCTAGTAGAATCACTGATACTGTCAGCTTCGAATTGACTCAACTGGAACTGCCACTCTGCAGGCCGCTGCTGCTGTGCTTTCTGCCCGTCACTCCTTCTCCTGCTGGCGTGCTGTGAGCTGGTAGAGTCACTGATACTGTCAGCTTCGAATTGACTCAACTGGAACTGCCACTCTGGAGGCCGCTGCTGCTGTGCTTTCTGCCCGTCGCTCCTTCTCCTGCTGGCGTGCTGTGAGGTAGTATCCGCATCAAATTGACTCAACTGGAACTGCCACTCCGCCTCCTGCTGCTGAGCCTGCTGCCCGCCGCCTCCCCAGCTCCGGCATCGCCTGTGTGACGGCCGCTCCTTCTGCTCCTCCTGCTTCTGCCGGGAGTGCTGCTGCGGCGGCCTCGCCGCACCCTGAAAGGCCTTTCCGCTCTTCGCTGTCGCCCGGACGACTATCACTGGCTCATTGTCGCTGTGACTTTTGCCCGGGTGCGGCGGAACGCGGACTTTCCCCACCTGTTCCCCCCACGCGCCGGCTGCCGCAGCGGCGGAGCAACGCGGCGAGCGCGGGAGCTCGGGCGGCACGGCGGAGCCCCTGTCGTTCCCATTGTACTTTCCGCCGCCGCCGCCGACTAAAGGTGGCATGATCCGAGCGGACCGCGCGCCGCCACGGCTTTCTGGCTGCGCCGCCGCGGGGGCACCATCCGCCGACACGACTCGCGGGGGCTGTCCGAGGGAATCTCCGCTGCGGCGGCCGGAGAAAATGCGTGTGAGCGCCGGGAGGCGGCGGGGAGACTGCGGCACGACCGGCGCGATCGACGCGTCGCCAGCTGAGTCATCTGTGGTTGTAACAGCATCTTGACCGTCCATTTGCCATGATGATTGATAGTTTTCGCTGGCGGCATCATCGCCGGCTGGTTTATCATCGCTGTTAGACGCACCAACAGCCTTGGTGGCTCCTATCGCGCTTCGGAAGGAGCGAAAGTCGGAGAAAGAAAGGTTCCTGGAGTGCCCGCCGCGGCCCTTCCGCCGGCCGCGGCCGCCGCCAGTGACGGCCGACTCGGGCGGCGGAGCGCATTCTTCGAAACTTACCTCCGCCCAAAGATCCTCCATGTCGATAGAGGCGGTCGCTTTATGGCGCACGACCGCCGCGTGCGGGCTGCGCACGGGGGTGAGCGCGGCAGGGCGCCACGCATTTGCTGAAAACGCGGCGTCTTCGCCAGCGGAATAGGATTTCGACGAGGGAAACGCAGCGCCGCGGTAGGCGTCATTCCGCCTAACCGCGTTTTTTTTGGGGCTGTTTGCAACTGCGGAATCCAAGGTCCGCGCGCGGCGGGTTTCGCCATGGAAATCCCGCGCAGGTGAGCAGCGGATTCGCGGAGCGGGGAGGGTGAGTGGACGACTCAATCTTGGGGGGTCGTCGGGTGATTCGCACAGTGCGAAAATCGAGGGTGATGTTAACGAGTGTCTGGGACTCCTAATACGTTCTGACGGTGAGTTCATCGGGAGGCTCGTTAAATGAGGCAGCTAGGGATGAGGATAAGGCGGATACTAGGATTCAGCTCTCGGATGGTAGTCTGCTATTTGCATATTAATTGTAGGTTGAAATGAAATGGAATGGAATTGGAGTAGCTTCGTTTCGTCTCGGGACAGTTTCGTGTTGCTGTGTTGCTCTGTCTGTGTTGCTGTTTTGCTGAGGAAAGCACGGTAGGGTAGTTTGCCCTCAATCTACTGCTTTTTACGAAAGGAAACTGACACTTACGATATTGGGAACCATTTCGATTCCTTGAATTTCAAGGGTCTCATACTAGCTTTAGTAAATAAAGGCAGTGTTTCGTTTCAATAAATCCACTACACAATTCGTGTTCAGGGTATTCACGGCACAATGTTCTCGCATTCAGGGTATTCACGGTCGGTCTCCCCCTTTTGCTACTGGTCGTTATCACCGCGAGTTCGATATTCGGGTAGCACGGAAACCAGGTGGGGACGAGAGACCACAACATCAAGCACTTTACAAGCTCTGACGGCCGCTATTTTTTTCAGTACCAAATGCGACTGTAGTCAAGTTTTCCAGATGGTGCTGCGAGGGAGGGTCAGTCCTTGTTCAGCACAAGGGTCCTGAATATAGAAGTGGCGAACAGCCTGTACCCTCGCTTCACAAAACAATTGTCTGAACTGTCCAGAGGGTGTTTCAATTCAGTGCTTCCACTGTCCCAGGTTGAGGTGACAAAACAGTCACTGCTAGAAATGTACAGCTGATATTCGTTAAAGACGATAAAAGCTAGTATGTCTATTTCACTCTGTTAGATAGAAAACAGCCAATATTTTCCTGTCCCCATCTATTGCAGATGTCTAGTCCAGAAAGCATGTGTGAATTTCGAGGGTATATTCCTGCTCCCGTACCATCAAATTCTGCAAATTTTCTTTGTTCCTTCGTCAATCATCATCAAGGACTTAGACCTTACAAATACTGTTGCATTTAACTACAAATATGAAAAACAAATTAGCTACTGATGCAAGCCATGTATAGAATGCCATAAAATTACAGATACAATCGTTTAAAATTATACTTTTTATTTTGAAAAATACTGGTGGAACCAATGTTTCATTATTAAATTGATTACTGAAACATATATGCTTCTATGTTTCATTGCATTGTAAGCAAGGATACTTCAACTTTGCAATCATTGCTTACAACAATTTTATATAATCAAGGTTTTTTCAAATTCCTATATCATGTATCTTACAACTTTGATTTTTCTCAACTTTGTGAAACAAATGTGTTAACAATATACCATAATATTTGGCTAACAAAATACATATAAAATATATGAGAAATGCAGTTAGGCACTGTCAACAAATTATGCATTTAACCGGTTAGTCTGGCTGGTATATAATACATGCAATTATGAGTATTTTTTCATGAGAGTTATGAGTAAGCTAAAAAATAAAACTAAAACATTACAGATGAGATACCGGAACATGATGTATACGGATTGGGGTTGCTAATCGAAAGTTTGCAGCTGTGCATAAATTACGCATTCGCAATCATCTTATTTGGTAATAGGAAAACGTCTTTCGACAACAATTTCGACTTGCAACCCAAAATGATATCAAAATGTGAGATTCCTTACTGAATGCATTTGTATGTCATGATGGCCGCACCAATTTGCAAAATAGGGCGTGCTATTTAACAGTAATATATCAAATTTGGTTCTCCTACAGTACGAGGATTCATCGTGCGATGTTGTGGGCAGCTCTATGAAACGTTGAATGTAAGAGGCAAAATATAATGGTTTCTTTAGCAGAGTGCGGTTTTTAGCTTATGCCAAAGTGATTTAGCACGTTTTGTTGGAGTTATTTTCGTTTTTTTTTTTGTATATAATGAGGGTGTCGTGCGTGTGTCCTTGGTGTGCATTCGTTTTCCAGTCTGTCAGATTCGTTCGCAGTTTTCCTACGTCGACTTTGCTTATCATGCCTACGTTTCGGAGTAAATGGTAACTAAGAGAAAATGAGTGTATCGACTCTATGTGCAGTCACCCGACGATGGTGGTTGGACTATGGGGTCTTGTACAGCTGTAAGCTACAGTTTCGCACTACAGACAGTGATGAATGCTTAGGACGCGTTGAAAGTGCAAATATCGTAGGTTCGTCTGCATATATCGATCCCCACAATCGAGTGGGCAGATCGTTTGGCGAAACGTGGCGACCGCGACGTTGTAACGATCGCAGCTGAAAATTTGACAGTTCCCGCGAACAGTGATCAGTCGCATTCTCACACTGTACAGAAAGCGACTGTAGCACAGTTACAACAAAGGTAATAGGGTAACCAATCCGCACATCGATCGCTACTGACGAACGATCGTCTACTTTCACCGCGTCCTTATGTCTTTGGAACAAACAATCGCTCCAACAGTAGGCAATTTAATTTCCAGAAATCCAATCGAGCTGGTTGGTTGACGACAGACGCGTGTGGAGCGGAGACAGGCTGGCTGACTTCTGTGCCGTAGTGAGGTCACTCACTCACCCCCGCCTGCATTTACTACGCTCGTGTCGCTTCGCCCGTCGCAAATGCGACGACAGAATAATTGGCTGGTGAGGTAAATTTCTCCCAAAAGAATTGCTCATAAAATCAATAAACGTATATAAGAATTGCTTATGAAGAAATCAACATGCAACACCAATATTCTACCCAAGATGCCCAACCCCTGCACGCGAATTTGCTCTGCCCGCGATGGAAACTCTGCACCCGCGTATTAGGGTACCAGCCAGTTGCACCCCATTTATAAGCACCTCGAGCAATACGAGCCACAAAAACCAAAGTTTGACAGAAGAGACCCATGTCAAACGGTCAACAGCGAGTTACAAAATCTTTTAAAAGCCCTTTTTGCTAAGTGCGAATTGACGAAAGCTTAGCGAAATGCAAGAATCACTTAAGAGCCCTCTTAGCAAGGCGACCTTGGGTTAGTCAAACGGGCATCGTGTGTAATACTTACACGTGTACAAGGGCATGGGGCCATGACGTGGTTGTTCATGAATCACTGTCAGGCGCGAAGAACAGCAGAGAGGATGGAAGAACACAAATTGTGTGGTATGATTCTCAGAAGAAACATACAGCAGTGTAATAGCGATTTGGGTTGTCCCGCTCGCACAGTTGAGACGAAACAAAATCTCTACCATGGGCAATAGCCTAGTAGAAAGAGAAGCAAATGCCATTAATAACTGTTTCCTCAACATGCCAATGGAATGAATGAGCAAATACAAGCACAGTGCAGGCTCTGACAAGCCATACCGGTATTATGTAATGTCATGACATGCCATGTCGTGCCATGCCTATCACCAGCTCAGGATATGGAAGCTCCATTGTGACCCATCTTTGAGTTCTCCTTAGGCCGCTGCAAGTAACCTTGTTATGAGCTGACTCATTAAGCCTTAGAGGCTCCACTAAAGCCACCAACTCTCGGCAAGCGCAGCACTTTCACCCATCTCTGCCTTGCCTTGAAATCCACCTTTCCAGCTTCCATCTGATATACTGTAAGTGAGCTCTTGAGACATCTCAAAACCTCATTTATATCACCTTGTTAGGCCTCGGCAAGCGCAGCACCCTCACCCATCTCTGCCTTGCCTTGGCATCCACCTGTCCAGCTTCCATCGCGGATATAGACCGAGGCACAAGCCTCGACAAATCCGAACCTGCGTCCGAACCTACGTCCGAGCCTGCTTCTGGCCCAGGAGGAAGGCTCTGAAGCAGCGATCTTCGCACCCCCAGCTCACACCCTCCGTTCGCAAGCATCCCCTCTTCCTCCACCCCGGCCCCTTCCCCCCCTGCCACACCCTCCTCTCCGGGCCTCTTTCGATACTCCTTACAAACAACCTCTGCTTCTGGCCTTCCTATCACACCCTCTCGTGCCCCCGCACCAGTCTCCCCACCCTGATTAGAATGCGCCTCTGTGCTTGAACGTAACTCCGTTTCTCCGGCCGCCACACCCATCCGCTTGGAGGGGCTGAAAAAGAGAGCAGGGGCGAGAGTGATGTTCCTGAGCCGTGAGCGTGAGAAGGAGCGAGTGAGAGAGGCGAGGAACTTGCGACCCGGCGAAGGGGAGGGGGAGGGGGCTGAAGAGGAGGAGGAGTGCGGGAGGGCCGGGGGGGGAGAGGCGATCGGTGCACTGTGGTCGATAAAGATTGTATCGGATAAAACGGGAAGGGATTTGGTTGCAGGGATGAAGGATGTGAGGGGGGATGCGGATGGGGAGAAGATGGAGAGGAGGGGATCAACGGTCTCTAATTCAATGGGAGCAGCAGCAGCAGTAGCAGCAGTAGTAGCAGCAGTAGTAGCAGCAGTAGTAGCAGCAGCAGTAGCAGCAGTAGTAGCAGCAGCAGTAGCAGCAGTAGTAGCAGCAGCAGTAGCAGCAGTAGTAGCAGCAGCAGTAGCAGCAGTAGTAGCAGCAGCAGTAGCAGCAGCAGTATCACCAGCAGGCGCCCCAGCAGAATCACCATCAACAACAGAAACTGTAACAGCTTCTGTAGCAGCAGCAGCAGTAGCAGCAGCAGCAGCAGCAGCAGTAGCATCGGTCCTAGGAAGAATTCTAACATCATTGCCAGCAGCACATGACACCGTGTCACAGCCCGAGGCACCAGCAGCAGCAGCGGTGGCAGCAGCACCAACTTCACCAGCAGCACCAGCAGCAGCAGCAGCAGCACATGGTGCAAGCTTTCCCCCAACAGCCATACTAACTTCAGCAACCCTGCTGGCAGCATCATCACCATCACCAGCATTGTCATCATCACCCTCATCACCAGCAGCAGGAGCAGCAGCGTCGGCAACAGAACCCAGGTCACCATTCGAAACTTTGAAAGTGCTGGATCCCAGGTCACCATCCGAAACCCCATCACGGCCACTCCAAGCATCAGCTCCAGGCTCGAAATCAAGCTCGGCATCAAACCCACCATCAGGCTCATCATCAGGCTCGGCATCAGGCTCGGCATCAGGCTCGGCATCAGGCTCGGCATCAGGCCCGGCAGAGTCACTGCTGGGGCAGGCAACGAGCACACGTCTCACCCTCACCACGTCACTGAATTGCACGCGCCGCCCCCGACTCTTACTGCCAGCAGCCCTCCCTGCTTCTGCTGCATCTGCTCCTGATCCCTTTAGTTCTGTGTGAACCCCTGCCTCTGCTGGAGTCCCGCCAGCAGCTTTCCCTGCATCTGCTGCATCTGATACTGCTACTGATGGGCTTCCCCCTGTGTCAACCCCTGTCCCTGCTCTGCCTGATTCTGCACCTGACGGGTGTGATTCTGCGCCAACCCCTGCTTCCCCGTCTGCTGCTACTCGTTCTGTGTCTGCTGGAGATTCGTTTGCCGACCGTCCCGCTTCCATCCCATCCCCCTGATGCTCCTCCTCCTGCTGCTCCGCCTGCATCTGTTCACTGCGTTTCCCCGTCTGCAGAACCCCATCACTCACGCTCCTATGCACGCCTCCCCCTCTCCCCTTCCCCTCCGCCCGCCCCTCCCCCACATGCCCGCCAGGGCAGGGGGAGACGGGGGAGCGGGTCCCCGCGGGGAGGGGGAACTGGAACGCGGGGGAGGCGGGGTGGGCGGAGGGGGAAGGGGGAGCGGGAGGGGAAGCGGAGGGGAGAAAGGGGGAAGGCCTGGCGGGAGGGGAGGAGGAGGCGAGGTGGAGGGGAAGGGACTTGTGAGAATTCTCAAGAGAGGCAGGCCTAGAGTGACAGCATGCATCGCTCATCTTGCTCAACTTGCTCATCTGCTCCCCTGCCCTTCCATTCCTCTGCCCCACTGCACTTCCTTCCCCCACTGCACTTCCTTCCCCCACTGCACTTCCTTCCCCCACTGCACTGCTGTCGCTCGCCAGCAGCACTACGGCACACTCCCCTACTCCTCCGTCCCGCTGCTCTGACCCTCCACCGCTCCCACCCTTCTCGTTTGCGTCACACACCACGAACATATCTTGCATCCCCTTTGCTGCTGTGCTCTGCTCTTCTCGCCCCACCCAAAACCCCCCTTCCCTGCCCTCCTTCCCCTCCCCCACCTCCCCCTCTCGGCTTCCACTCTCCTCTTCCACTCGTAACCCCTCTCCCTCCCCTCTTTCCACTCCTCGCCCCCTTTCGTCCCTTTCCTCTCCCCCCCATCCGTCGTCTCTTTCTCCTAATCCATCCCCATCCCTTCCTTCCCTTCCTCTCTCTGCTTCCTCAATAACCCCAATGCCGTGACTCAGACTAGCCATGCGCCATGCATTCTCTTCCCCCCCATCCCTTGCGCCTCCCTCCCTTGCTCCCCCTTCCCCTTCCCCCTCCACTTCCCCTATTACCCCAATGCCGTTGCTTAAACTAGCCATGCGCCATGCATTCCCCTCCCCGCTCGTCCCGGCGACCCCCATGCCGTAACTGAGACTGCATCTGCGCCAAGACGCCTCTCCTCTTCCCCCCTCCCCCTCCCCCTCCCCCTCCCCCTCCCCCTCCCCCTCCCCTTCCCCGAGCCACGTGCTGTAGTCTCCTCCCTCTTCCCTTCCCCCCGCGCCTCCCCCCTCTCCGCCTCCCCCCCGCGCGCCCGCCTCTATCTCCCCAATACCGTGACTCAAACTCGCCATGCGCCAAGCCGCCTCCTCCTTCCCCGCGCTTACTCCCCCAACCCCTCGCGCGCCCACCTCTATCTCCCCAATTCCCTGACTCAGACTCGCCATGCGCCAAGACGATTCCCCGCTCTCCCCCTTCCCCTCCCCCTCCCCCGCCCCCGCCCGCCCTCCCCGCCCCACGTCCCCCGCGCCGTCCCGAAGCCCTGCTGCGCCGCCCTCCCTTCCGCATCCGCCACGCGGCGACGGCAGCGCCACGGCTGCCGCCGCGGCCGTCAGATGCGCGATCCCGTCGCGCAGGCTCGCCCCGCTCCCCGAGTACGCTATATCGCGGAAGGAACCTACTATATCCGTGTCACTCCCCCCATTGCTCCCACTCCCCCCATTCCCCCAATTCCCGCCAGTCTCCCCAGTCCCCACCCACGGTTCCCCCGATCCGCCCGCTTCACCCGCTGCTCCCCCAATCCGTTCCGCCCCGTCCCCCTGCCGGGCGAGTCCCCGCCACTCCGCAAGGCTGCTAGCCGCAGAGCCCCGCGAGCTCGCTTGGCGGAAGCCGCCGCGCGGACCAGACGCGCGCGGATCAAACGACGCGCCCAGCACATCATCCGCTGCCCGCGCTTCCCCCGCCGCTTTCCCCGCCGCTCGTTCCGCCCTGCGCGCCATTCCCGTCGGACCAGCTTTCCCTACCTGCGGGTTCTGTACCACGCGGAAAACGATGCGCGGACCTGAGTGCGCAGCGCTTCCCCCATCCCCTCCGCCCTCCTCGTCCGACTCTCCCCCCTCCTCCCATGATTCCGCTCCCTCCTCTGCCGCTCCCGATCGTTCCGCGCGCTTTGCGCCAATCGCCGCTTCCGCTTCTTCGTCCCGACGCGCTTCGTCGAGCGGCTCGATATCCTGCTTCCCTGGCGGCGGCTGCCATCCGCGGCGGCCGCGTCGCTTCTGCGCCGATGGCGGCGACTGCTGCGACGACTCCTGCGACTGCTGCTGCGACGCGCCGCCCTTGACGCGTCGCGTGAAAGGAACGACCATCATTGGTTCTTTCCCGCTCAAACTCTTTCCTGAGGTTCCCGCCGCCGCGCCGGGATTCCGTCTAAAGCTTGCGCTGCGCGTCGCGGCCCGAGGGGATTTCGGCACGGCGCCTATGTCATTCGCTGCAAGCCGAGCAGAGAGCGGCGCGTGTTTCGTCTCTACAGACGAGCATCGCACGACGCCGCCATACAATTCCACGTCATCGCTGGCTGACGTGTCCTGTGGCCCTCGGAAAGACATGGAAGAGAGGGAAACGGGGATGACGGACGGCGCGGCGCCGCTAGACGCGCCGTCCAACGCGGCGGGAGATGCGGACGTAGGATCTCGGCGGCTGGAGAAAAGACGCGAAAGCGTCGGGCGCCGTCTGGGTGCTGTCGCCGCGGTCGCCGCCGCCGCTGCCATCGACGTCGCGCCGCTCTGTTGCTGCCCTTTCGAGAGATTACTAGCGTCAACTTCGCCGGGTTTCGCGTCGCCGTCGCGCGGTTTGTCTTTTAGAAAGGACCGGAAGTCGGAAAACGAAATGTTCCGCGCGTGCCCTCTCCGCCGCCCCCGCCCTTCCGCGCCATTTCCGCCCGCTCCGCCCCCTGGCGCAGCTCCGCCAAATGCGCTGTCCGCATCTTGCGCGGCGCCTTCTTCGAGACTGAAGTCCGCCCAAAGCTCTTCCATGTCTATTGACGAGGTAGCTCTATGGCGGATCGCCGTCGCGTGCGGGCTGCGCACGGGGGTGAGAGCGGCGGGCCGCCAAGCGGCGGAAGCAGAGGTTCCGCCGCGGGGGGAAAGAAGCGCGGAGGCGGCGGAGCCATCGGGGGAAAGCAGGGGGGAGGAAGAGCCGTCGGAGGAGAGATTTGAGGGGGAAAGCACGCGGTCGCTCTCCCTTCCGCTGATAGGTTCCGCCCATCGTAGCGCGGGTTGCGGGGACCTGGGGGAGAGTCGGCTATGCCTGGGGCTTTGCGCGGGCGCGGAAGAATCCAAGGTCCGCGCACGCCGTTGCGGGCGGGGCCCGACGGGGCATTCAATCGGCGCGCAGCGGGAGCGCGGCGGGGGGAGGGTTTTTGGCCTTTCTAAAAATCGAGGAAGGTCGGACGGGGGTATGGAGGGTGATACTATCGGGCTTAACGAGTCCCCCACGTTTGAGCCCATGAGGATGTGCTTCTAACGAAGGATAACCGAGGGACTATGTTGGGCTAGAGGGGCAAAACTTCTATACTTTGAGGAGGTTGTTCTATACTTCTATTCATGGCCTTTCGGTCCGTTGGGAGTAGCACGGTTTGCTTGTGCTGAAGGGGATGCAAGGCTCCGCCTTGTTCGTTATCGAGCAGCAACTTAGAATTGCAGGTGTAGTGAGAATTGCTCCCTTGCTCACTCAAATGTGTGAGAAGGGGGGAGACAGCAAGTACAGCATTGTTTCTTGTCGATTCATAATAAATTTACGTTTCTCTGTGGTTTGTTGCGTTCAAAAACGGTAGTAAAGCAAAACTGCGCTAGATACGACGATAATGGAGCGAAGCGAACGGAGTGGCTGACTGAACTGAAGTGACGCTGTACAGACCAGATTGGCAACTGATAATATATTATGTGCGTGTTTGTCCCTATGTTCACTGGTTGGACTGTGTAGTTGTCGTGAGGCGGGGCCAGGCTGGGTGTGGATAAGATGACGACAACAACGTATCTCGTCTCATTGCCACTCGGACATGTTGTTGGTGTCGGGAGGGCCTCTGTGTCCACCTGCCCGAACACTTATTCATGGGACCATTCTGTTTGTACGGTGTTTTATGGGACCATACAATGTGTACACCAAGGTCAGAAGGGCGGGGAGATGGAGTTTGGACATGCACGAAGTGGGTCCGCCTAGCACAGCACATTCTGGAACTTTCTGCCCAGAAAGTCATAAACGAGCCAAGTTTGACCGTGTGATATGCGAAACGAAACAGCTGGAAACGGCGTGCGGGTACAGTACAGTGGTTGAGTCAGGTTGTTTGCCAATTGCAAGCAATGTCGGGCCTATTATCCTCGGCTAGAACAAACCCAGTTGAAGAATATTGCGGCACCAGGTACAATGATGTGCATAAACTTCTTTTTATCCGATAGTGCAATCCTCGCTAATTCGTTCCATTGCAAGCGTAACAAGTACTTGCTTGTGAGAGTTCGAGTGTAGATGTGCTTGGCCTCTCCGTTGTTCAAGTTGTCGACGCTGCCTAACACAACCACGTTGGCGGTTCTGGTTGGACCACGTTCGACTCCCGTCCACCGCCCAACAGCATTTTGACACCTCAAGTCTGGCCATCCTTTACATTAACTCACCCGTTACTACCAGTGCACCATCTATGTCCAGCTACGCTTACACTGCTTGCAACGAGGCATTACGTTGAAAGCAAATCATTCGTAACGAGAGTGTCCCGTCACAAAGTGTCACGCTCGTGAAAGTGACAGTGGACGGATTGTTGTACGGAGGGTGAACTGTGAGACAGACACCAACAATGGCTGCCGCCACGGTATCCCTTAACGCCACGTCATGCACGCATCACATTCTTTCCTCCCCTGGTGTTCCTCAAAACTCGTCGTCGCTTCTTCCTCTCCCGTCACTCGCGCTACGTGTTTCCTGCGCGACACGAGGAGCAGTGCCACCGACCTTGCCGCGATTCCCGGCGACCGGAGCGCGTGAATGTGCATCAAGGCGAGCAATTCCGTTAAGACGTTCGCTCGCGGCGCGAGCTTCGTCGGACGATAGCGGCTCCGCCGATACCTCGCAGGCCGACGCTTCGCCGAAGCCCCCGCCAGCAGCGCAACCCGCCACGCCTCCTCCGCAACAAGGTGCGAACTTACTCAGCCAGCTGGGTTCGGCTGGGTTCAGCCCCGGTTCGGTAGGTTTTGTTCAAATCAGTTCGACCATTCTATGCGTTTTAGTTCGCGTTCTTTCACTGTGTTCCTTCGGTCTCCATTAGTTCGGTTCGGTTCCTTTCGGTAACGAATATAAGCTACTACTGATGATTCTTGCCTTGAAATTCTGTTGATGCTGACCTGGCAGAGTGGTGAATGTATCAAAAGTGTACCTTATTGAATGGTGCGATTTTAGAATAGGGTTACATATTACATTGAGTGCTCGTCTTTTGGGACGAACATACTGAGCCGGCTGGCGTTAAACGCAAATGACGCAAATGACACTTCTTTCTACCCCCCGTCTCTCTCTCCACCCAACTTCCTCCCCTCCTCCTCCGTCTTCCCCCGCCCTCCCTTCCCCCTTCCTCTTCTCCCACAACCAGAGTGCTCTCTCCCTCTTGCCTACCTGCCTGCCTCTCTTGAGAATTCTCAAAAGCGTCGCTGATAGGAAACGCTTTTGAGAATTCTCAAAAGACACACCCCTGCATCGCTTTTGAGAATTCTCAAAAGCTTCCCCCTTCCTCTTCTCCCACAACCAGAGTGCTCTTTCCCTCTTGCCTACCTGCCTGCCTCTCTCCCTCCTTCTCTCCCGCCCCCCCTCCCTCACGATATTTCTCCATCCGCCCCACTCTTTTTCCCCTTCCCACGCCCTTCCTCCCCCTCCTCGCCCGTGTCGCCCCTCCCTCTCTCCCCCTCCTTCCCCCTCTCGGCCCCATCCTCCCCCCCCGTCCTTCACCTCCCCCATTCCCCCCGCCCTTTTATCTTCATTCCGCTCTCCTCTGTGCTGGCTTTCTGAACAGCCTTGGTGAAGGGCCAGGTGGCCGCCATTGTCACAGGAGCCATTTCTCTCATTGTGGCTGCAGCCAATCCTTATCCTTTCTCTTACGTAATTCTCCTCTCCTCGGTGCTTTTCTCCCTCACCAGGCTTGGTGAAGGGCCAGGTGACCGCCATCATCACAGGAGCCATCTCTCTCATCCTCGCTATAGGCTACCTCGCTTTAGTGCAGCTGCTCGACTCCAGAGGGCTACAGATGCTGCCTCCCCCACCTGAAGCCTTTGGCCCCTGAAACCATGTGTACAATAGTGTGCATAAACCAAGTACTGTATCTCATGATGTTGGTTCAATAAGATAATTCAAATTGTGGTCGAATCCAGTTAGCACCAGGCAATTTCAATATCTGCCACTTTTCCAACTTATTAACCCTGCACCCCACCCGTCTCACTGTGCTCTAAAACCGAGCCCTACCAAGCACCATTTACAGCTGCCGTTGCCACCGCTTGCCTGGCTTTGGGATAGTCTCACTCAATACAGGCACCTAGCCCTACAATGCGACACCACTGCAGCTGGCTTTGCAGGACTTTGGATAGGAGGCGCCTCAAAACGTTTGAAGCGCCTCAGATCAGATCAGAGCACTCCCCCCGCACCCCACACTGCAGCACTTCCCTTCCCCCCACACTGCAGCACTTCCCTTCCCCCCACACTGCAGCACTTCCCCCCCCCCCCAACACTGCAGCACTGGACCAGACATAAGATTCCCTCCATTCCAAAGCAGAGCGTGGCATACACTGCCCACACTCTATTCTCTCATATCACATATTCTCCATCCTCCCATCTCCCACACTCCATCCTCCCATCTCCCACACTCCATCCTCCCATCACCCACACTCCATCCTCCCATCACCCACACTCCATCCTCCCATCACCCACACTCCATCCTCCCATCACCCACACTCCATCCTCCCATCACTCAACCACAACCCAATCTTAGCATCGCCCACACCAATTCTCCCCACCATCCACACCCCATCCTCCCATATCCCCATAACCCATCGCGCACAGCAACGAATCACATGACACACACAATGCCCCACGCCTCCTCCACGGCTCTCCTGTGAGAGATCTCCCAGTGAATTGAAGGCACCTGAACGTTGGGTAGAGCCAGCATCACATCAACCACACTCCTCCCATCCTCCCATCACGCAGAGCCAGCATCACATCACCCATAGTGTGCCCCAAGCCTCCTCCACGGCTCTCCTGTGAGAGATCTCCACCGTCCATCCGCCCGCCTTCTGCCCCTTCAAGATCCGAGCCTGCTGCTGCTCCGGAGTCAGGCTCGGTGCCGAGCCTAGGCTGCTGTCGGTATGGTGCACAGGCATGGGCTGGAGCATGCCCATTGGTCGAGGGGGGAAGGCTCCTCCTGCTGCCATGTCCCCTGCTCCTGCTGCTGCTGCTGAGGCAAAATCAGTTGCCATTTCCAATTGGTCCCTCTCCTGCTGCTCTATCTGCAGAGAAAGGGAGGGGGAAGAGGGGAAAGAATGGGGAGGAGAAAGGGATGAGGTGAGAAAGGGGAGGGAAGGCCCCTCGTGCTGCCATGCCCCCTGCTCCTGCTCGTGCTCCTGCTGCCATGCCCCCTGCTCCTGCTCGTGCTCCTGCTGCCATGCCCCCTGCTCCTGCTCGTGCTCCTGCTGCCATGCCCCCTGCTCCTGCTCGTGCTCCTGCTGCCATGCCCCCTGCTACTGCTCGTGCTCCTGCTGCCATGCCCCCTGCTCCTGCTCGTGCTCCTGCTGCCATGCCCCCTGCTCCTGCTCGTGCTCCTGCTGCCATGCCCCCTGCTCCTGCTCGTGCTCCTGCTGCCATGCCCCCTGCTCCTGCTCGTGCTCCTGCTGCCATGCCCCCTGCTCCTGCTCGTGCTCCTGCTGCCATGCCCCCTGCTCCTGCTCGTGCTCCTGCTGCCATGCCCCCTGCTCCTGCTCGTGCTCCTGCTGCCATGCCCCCTGCTCCTGCTCGTGCTCCTGCTGCCATGCCCCCTGCTCCTGCTGCTGCTGCTGAGGCGAAATCAGTTGTCATTTCCAACTGGTCCCTCTCCTGCTGCTCTATCTGCAGGGGACAGGAGAGGTGGATGGAGGGGGAGAGAGGGGAGGTGTGGGGGGAGTGTGGGGAGAGTAGAAACGGTTGGGATCAGAGGTTGAAGCAACTGGGTGGGGAAGAGAGGCTGCGAAAGGGACCACACGGGGATTGAGAGGGGAGCACACGGAGATTGAGAGGGGAGCACACGGAGATTGAGAGGGGAGTGAGTGCCGTGTGTGAGGGCAGGCAGGCATGTGGTGCGAGGCAGCATGTGTGGTGCGAGGCAGCATGTGTGGTGCGAGGCAGCATGTGTGGTGCGAGGCAGCATGTGTGGTGCGAGGCAGCTTGTGTGGTGCGAGGCAGCTTGTGTGGTGCGAGGCAGCTTGTGTGGTGCGAGGCAGCTTGTGTGGTGCGAGGCAGCTTGTGTGGTGCACAACCTGACGAGTCCCAACCCCCCATTCCCACATCCAATTCCCACCCCTACCAGCTACCACCCCTGTCTTCGTGGCAGTGCTGCTGTTCTTACCTCCATACTCCCCCATTCCCCCCGCTACTCCCCCATACTCCCTCATACTCCCTCATACTCCCCCATACTCCCTCAGACTCCCTCAAACTTCCCCATCGTCTCTCTTTGAAAACCCCTACCAGTTGGTACACGGACGATTCCCCCGGTTTGGGCGGCAGTGCTGCTGCTCTCAGCCCCATACTCAACCACAATACCCTCCAATACCTCCAGTACTCCCCCATACTCCCCCATACTCCCCCATACTCCCCCATACTTCCCCAATCCCACCCCTACCAGCTGATACACGGACGATTCCCCAAAACCCCTACCAGCTGATACACGGACGATTCCCCAAAACCCCTACCAGCTGATACACGGACGATTCCCCAAAACCCCTACCAGCTGATGCACGGACGATTCCCCAAAACCCCTACCAGCTGATACACGGACGATTCCCCAAAACCCCTACCAGCTGATACACGGACGATTCCCCAAAACCCCTACCAGCTGATACACGGACGATTCCCCAAAACCCCTACCAGCTGATACACGGACGATTCCCCAAAACCCCTACCAGCTGATACACGGACGATTCCCCAAAACCCCTACCAGCTGATACACGGACGATTCCCCAAAACCCCTACCAGCTGATACACGGACGATTCCCCAAAACCCCTACCAGCTGATACACGGACGATTCCCCAAAACCCCTACCAGCTGATACACGGACGATTCCCCAAAACCCCTAACAGCTGATACACGGACAATTCCCCCGGTTTGGGCGGCAGTGCTGCTGCTCTCAGCTCGGCTGCTCGGCGCTCTGCCTGGTATCGGCGGGGAGGTATCGGGGGGGGGGGGGGGGAGGGGGGAGGGGGGTGTGGGTGGAGTTGGAAGATTGGAGTGGGAGAATAGAGCATCGTTCGATACAGGCGGGAGCATAGCATTGGATCCTCCCGGTTTGGGCGTTTTTGAGAAGTCTCAAAAACTCCCTGCTGACTTTTGAGTCGAAAGTTTGAGTCGACTCAAAAGTCAGCTCAAGAGGGAGCAATGGATCCTGCCGGTTTGGGCGGCAGTGCTGCTGCCTGCTCTCAGCTCTGCTGCTCGGCGCTCTGCCGGGTGTAAGCAGGGGAGGTATTAGAGGGGAGAGAGAGGGGGTAGTTGGGAAGAGTGGGTGAGATGCAATATGCTGAAGGGAGGAGGGAGGGATACGACTGCCTTCTTGGGAGTCACTGTGGCAGTGCTGCTGCGTGCTCTCAGCTTTGCTGCTTGGCGCCCTGCCTAGTATCAGCAGCGAGAGCCTTTTGAGTCGACTCAAGAGTCTGCCTCATACGCCCTTACTTCCTCTCTCCATGCTATTGCACCACTATCCACACTTCTGCACCTCTCACCACCCTCTGAACCGCTGCACCACTCTGCACACCCCAGCACCATCCGGGCAGACAGCCACTCACCCGCTTGGCTCTAGCAGCAGCAATGCTGTCTCGATTGTTTGCCTCATACGACCTCACCTCCTCTCTCCATACCACTGCAACACTCTCCAGACTGTTACACCATTCACCACTCTCTTAACCGCTGCACCGCTCTCCACACCTCTACACCATCCCTGCAGACTGTCACTCACCTTCTTGGCTCTGGCAGCTGCGAAGCTGTCTCGGTTGTTCGCTTCATACGCCCTCACACCCTCTCTCCACACCACTGCACCGTTCTCCACACCACTGCCTCACAGGCTGCCCTGCACAGCACTCACCCGCTTGGCTCTGGCAGCTGCGATGCTGTCTCGGTTGTTCGCTTCATACGCCCTCACCTCCGCCTCTGCTGCCGCCGCATCGATTCCTTCCACCAACCGGAACACTGGCAAGGAGGGGGGTAAGGGCGAGTAGGGCGAAGGATGAAAAAGGGGGGGATAAGGCCGACACATTGTTTGCTTCATACGCCCTCACCTCCGCCTCTGCTGCCGCCACATCAATCCCCTCCACCAGCCGGAACACTGTGAAGAGGAGAGGGGAGGGCGAAGGCAGGGGAGTGGGGGGGAGATAAGGCCAACACATTGTTGCCTCATACGCCATCACCTCCGCCTCTGTCGCTGCCGCCGCATTGATTCCTTCCACCAGCCGGAACACTATGAAGGGGAGAGGCGAGGAGGGAGAGGTCAAACGGAGGGGGGATAAGGTCAACACATGCTTGCCTCCTATGCCCTCACTCACCCCCGCCTCTGTTATCGCCACTTCGATTCAGTCCCCTCCACCATCCAAAACACTGGATGGACGGAAGGGTTGGGAGGAGGGGCAGCGATGGGACGTATCCTTGCGTCATACGCCCTCAATTCCTGCTCTGTTGCTGCCACATCGATTCCTTCCACCAGCCAAAACACTGGAAAGAGGAGGGGAGAGGAGGGGCAGCGATGGGACGTATCCTTGCCTCATACGCCCTCACCTTCGCTTCGGTTGCATTGCAACCACTTCAATTCAGTCCCTTCCACCTTCCGGAAGGCAGGCAGTTAGGGACGGAGAGGAAGGCAGGCAGTTAGGGAGGGAGAGGAAGGCATGCAGTTAGGGACGGAGAGGAAGGCATGCAGTTAGGGACGGAGAGGAAGGCATGCAGTTAGGGACGGAGAGGAAGGCAGGGTGAGAAGCAATGTTGGCCTTTATCAAGAGCGAGAAGCAATGTTGGCCTTTATCAAGAGCGAGAAGCAATGTTGGCCTTTATCAAGAGCGAGAAGCAATGTTGGCCTTTATCAAATCCGTCACAGATATTGGAAATAACCCACACCAGCTACCCCCCTCTCAACCCCTCGCAAGCAACTATCTCACATCACACCCCTTGTACCTCTCTCTCAGTCTCTCACCACTCATCTCATCCTCCCCTCCCGTTCACCCACGCACCTATATCCTCCACGTGCTCCAGGTAGGTAGTCGCTGTACTCGCGCAGAGAGGGCGAGAGGGCCCAGTCACCTACCGCACCCGCGAGGTGACTCAAAGGGCGAGAGGGCCCAGTCACCCACCGCACCCGCCATACCACCACCACTCATCCTCCCCTCCCCGTCACCCACCCACTCACCTATATCCTCCACGTGCTCCAGGTAGATAGTCGCTGTACTCGCGCAGAGAGCAGCGCACCCACCTCGCGCCACTCACTCATTAGCCACTCCCCTCACTCCCTCCCTCCACTCCCTCACCTATATCCTCCACGTGCTCCAGATAGTCGTTGTACTCGCGCAGAGATGGAAAATCGTCCTGCAGCTTGTTGTACCTGGTGGGGGGACAGGGGACGAGGAGGGGTAATGAGGAGTGGAGTGGGGTGATGAGGCGTGAGATGGGAAATCGTCCTGCAGCTTGTTGCATCTGGAGTGGGTTGTGGCTAGGAGAGGTGTCGTGAGGAGGGTAGGTGAAGAGGGGAGGTGAGGAAGGGGAACAAGGAGGGTAATACACTCACACCACCATCACCACCATCACCACCATCACCATTCCTCACACGGCGTGGATTCGTTTCCGCACCGGCATCTCCTTGGCCCTCCCGCTGCGCTCATGCCTGCCCGCTGCTACCGACGGCGGGAGCAGGAGAGCCCTCCCGCTGCGCTCATACCTTCACCTACCCCGTGCCTTCAACACACTCCCACATCCCCGCCTTACCTGTCACCATCATCACTCACACGGCGTGGATTCGTTTCCGCACCGCCATCTCCTTGGCCAGCGGCCCTCCCGCTGCGCTCATGCCTGCCGGCTGCTGCTGACGGCCGTTCGTGCTGACGGCCCGCTAGTGCCGTCTCGCTGCTCTCTCACTGCCGCCGGCGGGTGTTGCTGCTAGGAGCGCTGATGATACGACCTGTAGATGCGACGAGTTGATGCGGTACGCCGCGGTACGACGTGGTACGACGTGGTACGGCTATCGTGAAGCACGAAAGCTGGCTGTTTCAAGGAGTCATGGTTGAGTGAGTGGGAGAGTCCGTGTCTCGGACCAACTTCTGGGCTAAGCTCTCGGACCAACTTCTGGGCTAAGCTCCCGGACCAACTTCTGGGCTAAGCTATGGGGCTCGGTTCATGGGATCATCATGAGCTATTACATGATGATGTGATACTCGCGGCTGTTCCACGATGCGTGCGGCTGGACTCTCCTCTACCACGAGAACCTTTTTTGAGGCGCCTCAAAAATTGCTCCACGATGCGTGCGGCTGGACTCTCCTCTACCACGATCAGAAACTCTTCAAAATTCGCTTCTTTGTCCAATAATTCCTTTTGCTACCTCTTTTCGTTCCTTCGTCTTAATATCTCGTCACCTGCCTATTCTCTCGACGTGCATTGCACGTTTACGCCCAGGCAGGCCTCTTGAAACCACGGGTGAGGAGCAGCCTACTAACTAATTCGCGTCTGATCTCTTTCCTTGTTTCATTGTGCTTCCGTTCTGGCTGAATTTTGCGTTGTGAGGAGGATGACCAAGTTGTACGCATTTCCAGATTACTCGCTTCACAGTTTCTGTTTCTCCAATGCATCGACGAATTCTAGCGTAAATCCTCGTTTGCTTTTCAGAAGTAGCTGAAAGTAGCGCTCTGGAAAAAAATTCCTCTCCAGTTTCAAGAAAAAAAAAAAAATTAGAAACAAGCCAAACTCAATACGGTGAAGTAGAAAAGGAGTACATTGTTATCAAGAATTATGTCTCCACTCCACAGCCGGCTGGCCATTCGTGTCTCATCCACACTAGGCTACTACCAGCCAAGCCCAGCAAGGTATGGTATTGTACCCTAACAGTCTAACCCTACCCCATATCCAAGATTCCACGATTCCATTCGGTAGACACTACCAATGGCGCCTTTATCAGCCATCGCCCCTGTTGAAAACAAGTGATTTAAGAGCTTCTGTTGTGTCGAAACACTAAGTCGTAAACGAAACGAAACACAACGAAGCATCGGTGAGTCAACCATCGGAGGTTGAGAAGAAAAGTAACTGCTGGAGGTTACGCGAAAGTAAAAGGTCAGCGACCTTTGAACTGACAAGTACAGCGCGACAGCAAGAACAAACAACTGACTCGTTATTGAGCAGTTGCCCGAGTCGTCACTGTAGCGAACCGCAACAGCAACAGTAAAACGGTTATTAGTTGTATCTCTTCATATTCCTTGTACTCTTATAAACACCTTGTATCTCTTTGTTTTAATCAATCTACTTTGCCCTCACATACTAGCGCAAGGTGGTTCCGCAACCACAGTATTGTTACTTTGAGTTTAGTCCTGCAAAGATCCTAAAGGTTTTCTCAGCCCAACATGGTATGAGAGCTATCAGGGCAAACTCAACTGCTTCCAAGACACCTACAATATCAGAAGGCATGGCAACGCAGAAGGAGAGAAGCTCCTCTAACGGCTCTCCCGGCACTACTCCTACTCCACCTCCTGCCTCTGGCCTACAGACAGAGGAGGGTACGGCAACAAGACCAGCAGCGGGGTCTACTGAAACTCCCGCAAATCAAGCCGCATGCTTCGACCCAAACATGATGGAGAAGTTCTTCTCCTTCATGTCCTTCTACGAACAGCATCACCAAACGGCACCTGCGCAGTCAAACAACAGCAACAAAAACAATGACGTTACACCAATGAGCCTTGACGGTTCATCCTATGCGCGAGGGAATCAGCAACAGCAGCCTACCTTTGCTCCGTACGAACCCTAGCGCGGCTCCATCAGCTTCATGCCGCATCAGCAACCTTCACCTGGACAAGAAAAAAACACTGGATGCACTTCAAGTTCAGTCGCAGTTCGCGCATGTCTTAAAGCTGCGACGGGAAAGATTTCTTTACCTGGTCGTTTGAATTTGAACTGATGATGAAAGGTGCACAGATTCTCGGATTCTTCGACAGGTCCCTGCCATACCCAACACACGGAACGGAATACGACAAGCAGTAGTACACATATCAGTCACTGCTGAGGAACCTGACTTCAAACCAGCAGCAGAACATCCGCTCTTATCGGGGATACGGCAACTCCGCCGAGCCCGCGTACAACCACTTGAAGAACCTGTATCAAGCAACAGACAGCGTCAATCAGAGTCGGCTAATGGCACAGCTGACAAAAGTGGAAATGAAACCCGGTGAAAAGGGAATGGCATATATCAGCCGTTGTCGTGAACTGGGCGACAAACTTCTTCGATGCGGAGGATCGATATCTGAAGAAGCCTTCATCACAGTCGTCATCACTGGTCTTGGTCCTCATTGGCGTTCCACTCGAGCTATTCTTCGAGCCCACGGGAAAATCTCTGAAGCTGCACTCTGCGCCGAAATTCACGCCGAACAGCAAGACATGGACCTGCACGAGGAACGACAAAAGAGAAAGACATTAGCACCTGAATTCACATTCCACACTCAACGGCGCTTCAACAACTCCAACCGACAGAACAAACAACAACAGCAGCAGCTGTCGGACTTATATGATCTAGCCTGTGTAGGCTGTAGCGGGTTAGATACTACGGGGTACACAATTCTAGGGTTTCATATTTGTATCACTTTCATTCCTTAGTCAATTCATTCTCGTTCTAACTTTCTCATGGTATCGAGCAGGTTCCCTCGTGGGAACTGTTCCTAGGGCCCACCAACCTTTTTTTTTTTTCCCTACCCGGGGCGCGTGCCGCCCCTTACCCGAAGCGCGCCTGGTGTCCCGCCCTTAGCGACCCGTCGCGCCCCCCTTAGCGGCCCCTCAGGCCCCGTCGCTGCCCTCTCTAGGCCCCGCGTGGCCCCTTAGCGGCCCCGTCGCCACCCCTTACGGCCCCGCGTCGCCGCCCCTTACGGCCCCGTCGCCGCCTCTTACGGCCCCGCGACCGCCCCTTACGGCCCCGTCGCCGCCCCTCACGGCCCCGCGACCGCCCCTTACGGCCCCGTCGCCGCCCCTCACGGCCCCGCGACCGCCCTTTACGGCCCCGACGCCGCTCCTTACGGCCCCGTCGCCGCCCCTTACGGCCCCGTCGCCGCCCCTTACGGCCCCGTCGCCGCCCCTTACGGCCCCGTCGCCGCCGAGCCGCGACCCCCTAGCCGCCCTTAGCGGCCCCGTCGCCGGCTCTCCCTCCCCTCGGCCTCGTCGCCGCCCCTCACCGGCCACGTCGCCGCCCATCCGCGGCCCCGTCGCCGCCCTTCAGCGGCCCCATTGCCGCCCTTCCGCGGCCCCATCGCCGCCCTTTCGCGGCCTCGTCGTCGCCCTTCAGCGGCCCCGTCGCCGCCCCTCAGCGGCCTCGTCACTGCCCTTCAGCGGCCCCGTTGCCGCCCCTTGCGGCCCCGTCGCCGCCCTTTGTGGCCCTGCCGCCCCTCCTCGGCCCCTCCGCCGCCCTTCCCGGCCCCGCCGAGCAGCCGAGCCACCGTCACCGCCGAGCCGCCGAGCTGCCGAGCCGCCTTTGCCGCCGAGCCACCTGTGCCGCCGAGCCGCCGAGCCGCCTGTGCCGCCGAGCCGCCGAGCCGCCGAGCCGCCCAGCAGCCGAGCCGCCGAGCCGCCCTGCAGCCGAGCCGCCGAGCCGCCACGTCGCCGCAGCCGAGCCGCCGCAGTCACTGCAGTCGCGGCCCTGTCCCTGCCGGCCTCCCTCGGCCTGCCCCACCTGCCTGGTAAGAGCAGCACCTCTGCCACTGCACTGCCCTACCCCGCTGCTCTCTCTGCTAGTCTACTGCTGTCATGGCCACCCCCAGTGTTCTCACCTTTGACGCTGAGGGTCGGGCTGTTGACTTTGAGGTCTGGGTAGATGATCTGCAGCTTTTCCTACAGTGCGATAGGGCAGACGGTCTCTCCCTGTTTGACCTCACTTCTGGTGCCTCTCCTGCCCCTGCTGCTGATGCTGACGCCACTGTTCGCTCACAGTGGGCCACGCGCGATGTTGCTGCCCGCCTTGCTGTGCGCCGCCACCTACCGACCGCTGAGCGCGCGCATTTTAGTCAGTACAAGAGTGCTAAGACCTTGTACGACGCTGTAGTTGCACGCTACTCTTCCCCTGCCACTGCTGCTCTTAACCGCCTCATACTGCCGTACCTCTTCCCTGACCTCGCCGCTTTTCCCACAGTCGCTGACCTCATTACGCACCTTCGCACTAGTGACATTCGCTACCGCGCTGCACTTCCTGCTGAATTCTGTGCCAAGAACCCCCCCCCTATGTACATCACCCTCTACTACATAGTCACCCGGCTCCCTGACACCCTTCGCTCGGTCAAGGACCACTTCCTCTCTGTTTGCCCCACCACTCTCACCGTTGACCTCCTCGAGGAGCGCCTCCTAGCAGCAGAGAAGAGTATAGTCGCTGTAAGAGCCTCTCGTGGTGACCCTCGTACCCCTGTCTTTGAGGGGTGCTCCCCCTCCCCCCTCTTGCCCTCTGTTGCCTCTACTGCTGCGAC